TATGAATTTCGACATGTAGCATCGCGAGAATTTGAAATGTCGAGATTAAGAATGTGGAAATAACCAATCTAGCATATTGAAATTTCGAGATTATGGTAGCAAATCGAGCCAAATACTCCTACATGATCGATGGCCTTTTCGCGGTCGGGAATCCGATTGTAGGGCTGCGTGTTGGCCCATTCCTGCATGGTCGCCTCGCATTCGCGCTTGTACGCGAGAGGCTAAACAGGGATGGATGTCGATTTTCGAGCCATAGCTGGCGGGGCTCGAGGATTTCTGTGGTCTTGGAAAAAATCTAACGACTTTTAAAGGGCCGAAAAAAAACTGATATTTAGACAGCATAATTTTTTAACTGTCTATCGATTGCTGTATGTTACATCGAAATTTTCCCCGGGTTGCCAAAGTGCAGTTGACGCAGGTAACCCTTGCAGGTAGTCCTTGGCGTCGCCGGGGATGCGGTTCCTAAGGGTGATGTAGACCACAGTCTCCGAGTTGTCTGACCTGCCAAACGTGTAGTCGCACGTGGCGAGCACGATTTTGGCATTGATGCAGGCGACGACCAGTCCCTCGTCACTCTGCAACAGTTCAATTTCCATTGCGAGTTAGCTGGCTTACCCCGTGTCCGCGACGAATCACCAAATACTGCCGACGCTCGGGATCGACGACAACCTTACGGGCGTCGGCTCGGCTTTGACAGAGTTCGTCGTACAGGGCAGCGAATTCTGTAAATACATAGGTGGCAGCTTCCGTGGTACTGGCCTGTTAGCGGGGGGTGGGGGTGGAAGCCCGTTTTAGAAAAATCCCACAAACCATTGCAAAATTCGTGCTTCAAAGAATAGGTAAGCTCCCGGTCAGGAGGAGAAGAATTCTCGAGCACGACGGCGTCAATCTAGCGTTCACGCCGCTCCCATTGCTGCAAAGACTGTTCCATTTTGGTACTGGACTGTTAGCGGGGAGGGGCTTTAGCAGGGGGCAAACTACTTTATATTTCCCCCTATACTACCTGCCAATAATAAATAGTGTATTTTTATGATGTTTTTAATAGATCTAGATTTCTAGAAAGTTACAAAAGATATTTTCATCTTTTTGAAAATTGGAAAATTATGGCTTTTTTGGTCATTCGTGCATTTTTGCCGAAACAGTGGAAAATACTCAAAATTTGTTAGCATTTTTTCTATCCTGATTTAGTTCCAGGGCCGTACGGGATTCAAGGGAAAAAATTAGCTCCCCTGTTAACAGTCCAGTACCAGTCAGCACAATCAAGACCCTCGAAAAATTGACCTCGATGATGGCGTTGATGGCGGGGATGAGCGTGCGGTGGAATTGCACGACAAGCGCCGGGTTCATCTCAAGCGTGCGATACCATTGGTTACGGGCCTCCGGGATAGTGTAGAGGGACATGTAGGCGCGGATCGAGGGTGACTTGGCCTCGAGCAGAATGGACATCTCATCGATCTGGCGACCGAAGTGCACCCACAGCGATTGCCGGTTCTTAAAACGCTGTTTTTTTCTTGCCAAAATACCGTCTTCTCGCTCAAAATGCATGATTTTCGACCAAAATTTCTTATTATTTTTATTTTGTATTATTATTGGATTTTCGCTCCAAAAATGGCTACATTTTATGCTCATACTCAGCCATACCCACCAGTCCAAACACATCCCTTAGCACTGCGCCAAACTCGCCGGGCTGGCCATTCGGGTCAGCGTACACCGCGACGCGACATGGGTCGAGGAGAGCTGAAAAACAACACTAATCCATAATTCCGGTTCACGAACCAATTTGGCGGCACAGGTCTTGCTTCGGCCCTTTGATCGGCAGCATCGCAGTATGGGCGCGGACATGGGGGGCGGTCTTGTACTCTTCGGGGGCGGGCAGTCCCCAACCAGCACCGTAGCCGAACTATAAAAACGATCGCCGCGTCTCGCTCTCGCTGCACTCTCCCTCTCCCCCCCCCTCTCTCTCTCGCTCTCTCTGTACTCCCTCTCACCTGATCGAAGTATGCGTTGTTCAGCAGAAGCTTTAATGTTGCACGGAACGAACGGAACCTAAGCAAAGACGGGGATGCTGAGATGAGCAGAAGAACTCACCGAAATGCGGCACAATAGTCGATGCGGTGTTTTTCTGCTTTAAAAATAGTGAAAACATACTAAAAACGATGTAACACTTTATGTTTGATTACCAGGCCAACAGGAGCAGCACGGAAAGAAATTTGGTCCCCCCTCACCGCCCCGCGAATTCTAAAGAAACACCTTGAAGAATTTGTGAGAGCGGGCGAGGTTGAGCCGATCGAGCGGGCTGAGCAGGTTCATCACCATCAGCCATAGGTCATGCGGCAGCTGGCTGAACTCGGCGAAACAGAGCAGCATGTGCGAGCGCTTCTGGAATGGTTGGGGTAGCTAAGATACGGTAAGAGTTTACTTTACCCCCCACAGCCGAAGGGTCTCAAAGTTGTCGGTATTTCCGCTTATTTTATCGGGATTTTCGCAACGCCATTCGATAGAGCGTCGAAAAATATATTAGGAGTTTTAATTTGAGCCTACAATAATGTAAAATAAAAAAGTTATAGCCAAAAACTTCCGGCTGGGGGGTAAAGTAAACCGTAGCCTAAGATACAGTAGGTGGAGCCGGCCAGGGGAGGCGGTCACCATTAGCTCGGGGAGGCGGTATTTTTAGCAGTTCGGAAAACACATTTGTTTGTAGCTCTTCACCCGCTGGTAATCACAATAAATTTTGTAGTGGTAGTTCTAATAGCTAGAAAATTATGAAAAGTATATGTACATTTCTTTACCTTTTTTAGTCATCCATTTTTAGCTTCAAGTCAAAATCTTATCTTTTTTACGAGTTTTCGATCTAGACTGTAGTCCGCATGTATGATACTCCTCAACCCCGACGGATGGCAAGCTAAAATTGTGCATACCATCGGCCTGGGTCCCCCGCAACGAGGTCGAAGGCGCAGGCAGTGCTGCGACGTGGACATCTGATTTTAGCGCTTATTTCAGGTAAGGCAGCAAAATACCAATTTGGTCGGCTTCTTGACGACGGGTTTTCCGGTAGCCAGGCTCTCGTTCGAAGAGGCGGGGGCCTGAAGTTTGGAGAGTTAACCACAAATTAATCAGGGAAAGCTTACCGATCTCTTCGGGGGTTGCAAGCGGGAAGTGGAAGCCACCGGCGAGGTGGCGATGGGGACCACAACCTGAAAGTTCGTAAGCTCTGGAGAATTGCTTGCAAAGACCGACCTGTGCGGCTACAACACTCTTGCCCTCTTCCTCATCTGTCGAATTGTTAGCGTCGTCGGGGTCGCCCGGCAACATCGCAGAGCCGTCCGAGACGAGGGGTCGGAATGAGTAAAAACCGCGAGGCGGTAATGGTCACCGGCGATGCTCACCGAACAATTCAAATTTCCAATCCAAATATCTTAAATTATGTTAATTTTGGGGCAATTGCACAAGCGATAAAAGGATAAGGAGAGAGAGAGAGAGAGAGAGAGCGAAAAAAAGAGAGAGAGAAATATATAGAGAGAGAAATATCGAGAGCGAAAGAGCGAGAGCGAGAGAGGGAGGGAGAGCGAGAGCGCGAGAGAGCGAGAGAGACGCACCCGCATCCTCGTACGCCTTCTGGATGTATGGCTGGTTGTCAATGTATTTTCGACAGTAGTCCTTTTTCTGCAACTCTGCCGGCAGATCAGCGGCACCAGCCAGGGATCGGGGCGCGTCTTGGATCTGCTTACCTGAAAAAAAGAAGCTTAAACAGTTCGTTACAGTACTCCTGATGTTCAAAAACCAACATAGTATGTTGAACCTACCCATCAGGAAGGCGAAGGCATTCATGATGCTGCTCTCGCCGAAACAATTCAGGTGTTGCATCTGGACGGCGCCCATGCGCTCTTTCAGAGATTTCAAGGTGCGCCGTAGGGCTCTAGAAAATTATGTTTTACAAAACCAGGCGCACTTCAGCATCTTTTTTTGCGTAAAAAATCTGATTCTTGAGTATTCCCGGGGGTGGGGGGGGGAACCAACTTTTTTTCCTGTCGGCACTCGGGGATGTCTGGAGGACAGAAACGGAATTTCCCAGATGACTCGCCGCTTGGCACCCCGCGTTTGTGACACGGAAAGGCTGCTTAAACTTTTTATGTGTGTGATTTCTGAGCTTGTTATGTGACTGGTCCGGAAAATTTCGGGTTTTAGAAAGACAGCATATAATCGTCTTAATTGTGTTGTATTAATCTAGAAACTCCTAGTAACCTAATAGTAAAGTTTTTTTACAAGGTTTTTGTAAAATAAAACTATATCTTCACTAGCAATACTATCTAGAAACTTTGAAAATTAGAACACGAAATATTGGTGCAAAAACGGCCATTTTTGGTCGGAGAATCGATATTTTTTTGTATTATTTTTTGTAATAAAATTTGCTAGTTTTTTCCGTTCTGGAATAAGCTATTTACATTAAAAAAATTGTTTTGAAGAAAAAAAATTACTTCTGATTAATTATTTTGCTTTTCTCGATCTTGCAAACATTTATTCCGTGAAAATCGATCAATCGGCAGGGAGTAATTAATGGACACACGTAAAATGCACAGTAAAGTAATGGAAATTGGCATGTTTATTTCGCCACACGGCGGTAGGCCTTCATGATCGGGTCGTCCTTCTCGTCGAACTCCTCTGGCTGAAAAGAGAGTGATTGAAGGCACGCTTCACTTCGCCCCACCAGGTTGCCACGGCCCCAGGAGCGCCCCTCCAGCATCTAAATCAATGAGGTTACTTTCCAAATGTCGAAAATCAAAATGACGAGTCTCATAATGTCGAAATTTTATAGTGTCGAAATTTTTTACAGAGGATTGGGGGATTTTTCCGAGAAATGTGCTTACATAAAATTCCATTCTGAAATTATCAATCTCCCATATTGAAATTTCGACATTATGGTCGCAAATCGAGCCAAATACTCCTACACGATCGATGGCCTTTTCGCGGTCGGGAATCCGATTGTAGGGCTGCCTGTTGGCCCATTCCTGCATGGTCATCTCGTATATGCGCTTGTACGCGAGAGGCTAAACAGGGATGGATCTCGATTTTAATAAAAAAAAAAAACAATAGCAAAAAGGATACTTTGAAAATTTTTGACTTTTTGGTCAAAAATGTTTGGAAATGACCAAAAATGGTCAAAATTTTCGAATTTCAAAAAATGCTAAAATATATTTCATAATTTTTCAGCAATCAAAAACTGCAAACAGGTGGTTGGTAGCTAGAAACACAGAAGGTGGTTTTCCCCCTTGCTACCACCCCCCCCCCGCTAACAGCCCAGTACCGAATCCTAATGACAAGGCCCCACTTTCAGTTGTGCCGCGTGCAGCTTTTTCATCTTCTTTTTGACGGCATCCAAAGCTTGCAGGTAGTCCTTGGCTTCGCCGGGGATGCGGTTCCTACAAGGTGATGTAGACCACAGTCTCCGTGTTGTCTGACCTGGCAAACGTGTAGTCGCATGTGGCGAGCACGATTTTGGCATTGATGCAGGCGACGACGAGTCCCTCGTCACTCTGCAACAGTTTAATTTCGAAGGTGAACAAGCTGGCTTACCTCGGGTCCACGACGAATCACGAAATACTGCCGACGCTCGGGATCGACAACAATCTTATGGGCGTCGGTTCTGCCTTGGCACAGTTCTTCGTACAAAGCAGCGAATTCTGGAATTTATAGGTCCTAGCTTCCGTGGTACTGGCCTGTTAGCGGGGGAGGTGTTTGTTGGGAAAAATGAAATTACAAAAAATATTGCACAAACCCTCGCGAGATTTGTGTTTCAAATTATTGACTGGCCACTGGTTCGAAGGAGTGAAATTCTGTAGCACGACGGCGTCAATCTCGCGTTCACGCCGCTCCCATTGCTGCAAATATGGCCGCCGTGTCTTGGTACTGCACTGTTAGCGGCGAAGGGGAATTTTTAGCAGGGGGCAAACTAATTTATGTTTTTCCGGCTATATCTCCCTGTCCCTGTCTATGTTTATATGGGTCTTAGGACATCTTGATTGCTAGAAAGTTACAAAATATATTTTAAATCTTTTTGAAACTGCAAAATTTTGACGTTTTTGGTCATTCCTACATTTTTGAGCAAACAATCAGAACTTTTCGAAGACCTTGCAAGTTTTTTTTGGAGCTTTTTATAGCTAAAAACCGTACAAAATGCTATAACAAACATTGATTTAGTTCCAGGGCGTACGGGATTACTGGAAAAAAATTAGTCCTCCGCCCCCTGCTCAAATTAGTCCAGTAACCGCGAAATTCACCTCGATGATGGTGTTGATGGCGGGGATGAGGGTGCGGTGGAATTGCACAACAAGCGCCGGGTTCATCTCAAGCGTGAGAGACGCCGGGCGGATATTGTAGAGGTCCATGTTGGGACGAGGGACATGCATGTAGAGGGACATGTAGGCACGAATGGATGGACCCTTGGCCTCGATCAGAATGGCCATCTCGTCGATCTCGCGCCCGAAGTACGCCCAGAGCGATGGCCGGTTCTAAAAACCTTTTTTTTGCGCAATATCGAGAAAAAAAATCATTTTTTTACACCCAATATCCAATTTTCTAATAAGATCTTATAAGATGCTTAACGCATTTCCTAAGCTATTTTTTACTATTGGCTCAATGTGAAAACTTGGTACTGGACTGTTAACAGGGGGAACCCGATTTTTCCCAGTCATCCTGTACGCTCCGAATTGTTTATTGCCAATTGCAAAATGCCGATTTTTTTGTCAAAAATGACCGATTTTGAGCAAAATTTTTCCAAATCATCTGTGATTGGTTTTCCGCTTCAAATATGGCCACCCACCATTCCAATCACATCCCGTAGCGCTGCGCCAAAGTCGCCCGGCTGGCCTTTCGGGTCGGCGTACACCGCGACACGATATGGCTCGAGGAGGGCTGGAAAAACACCCCATAATCCGTAATTCCGGTTCACGGACCAATCTCGCGGCAGAGTTCATCCGTCGGCCCTTTGATCGGCAGCAAGGCAGTATGTGCGCGGACATGGGGGACGCTCTTGTACTGCTCGGGGTAGGGCAGTCCCCAGCCGGCGCCGTAGCCAAACTATAAAAACAATGATTTCTCACTGCACTCCAACCCGTGAGGTATCTTTAAAGTGCTTTGAGTGGGCTTTTCATTAATCAAAACCATAAAAATATCTTTGCAAATTTTGGATACACGAGCATTTTTAGCTTATCGTCATTTTCTTATTTTTGGAACACAAAAATTTTTGAAAACGCTGATGATGTTGAATGAGTTTCTATAACCTAAAACCGTTGATTTGGTTGGTTTGGTAAAACAATTTGGTTCCAGTCCAGGGACCGGAACAAACCGAATTAGTCGTCCGGTCCACACGCACCTGATCGAAATACGCGTTGCTCAGCAGGATCTCCAATGCGGAACGGTACGAACAGAACCTAAGCACAAAAAAATGAGCACAGAAGAGAAGAAGATGATGATGAGCAGAAGAACTCACCGAATCCCAGCGATGGGGGTCTTGTGCTGCGGGCGGCAAGCGACGTGGCTGCGCGTGATATTCTTCTTCTGCAGGTAGCCCCATTTCTTCGGGGAATTCGTGACGTGATTCTGGAATTCGAAAAATTGACTTTTTCCACCCAAAATGACCAAATTTTCGCCTTTTTGAAACATTTTCCTAGTTTCTAGTAGAAAGTTTTTCGGTTCTGTTCTATTTCGCGGGGGGACGGTGCGGGGGGGAAATATGCTTCGCCAAAATTTCTATCTTTTCGCTATTTTCTCGGTATTTCTTCAACGCCATTCGATAGAGCATCAAAAAATATACTAATAGTTTTTCTTTTAGCTAAAAATATTGTAATATAAAAAAGTTATGGCAAAAACAAAAAAAACTATTGAAACTGGTGCCGAAATGTTAATTTTCGGCATTTTCGCCAGTTTTTCGATATTTTGAACCCGTCATTCGATAGAGCGTCAAAAAATATACGAAGAGTTTTAACTGCAACTCAAAATAGCCTCATATAAAAGAGTTATAACAAAACTAAGAACATTCCCCCGCGAAATAGAACTGTACCGTCCACCAAAGAAACACCTTGAAAAATGTGTGTGAGCGGGCGAGGTTCAGCAGATCGATCGGGCTGAAGAGGTCCATCACCATCAGCCATACATTAAGCGGCAGTTGGCTGAACTCGTCGAACGACAGCAGCGGGTTCGGGCGCTTCTGCAGTGGATTGGATGCGATAGTCTAGGCGAGACGCAAAAACCTAGGTTCTGGACTGTTAGCGGGGGAACCAAATTTTTGATTGATATTCTCTACGGACCTATAACAAAATGTAAGCCATTTTTATAGCACGTTACATAGCATTTTTATAGCAGTTTTTACATATAAAAACAAGATAAAAACATAAGAAAGGTGCTAATGCACTTCGGGGGGGGGGCAGTGCGGATTTTGACTACAATACGCTCCAAACGCCGCTTTTTAAGTGTTAAGCCTCTGAAAAAGTTAGGCCAAGCTTAAGCCTGATCTTAGCTTCAAGCAAACGAAGCGTAAGCTTAGCTTGAGCCACGATAAGCTTACTAGGGAAGTCCAAGATACCCGCAACACGAATCGGGCTGAAAATTTGCACAGTTATGGAACCGACCATGCTGATCATCGCCTCATTTTCCGAATTTGCTACAGAGCTTAAATAATTAAGATATTAAACTTTTAAAATGCGCCAAAAAACCGCCACCCTGACCCTGTCTCATTAGAGCGGGTGGGGTTCAAGAAGCCTTTGGGAAGCCCCCTTTGCAGAGCTTCGGTAGTCAACTGGTAAGCACCTCGCTTCCCAGGAGGAGGGTCCGGGTTCGGACCCGGTCCGCGCATTTTTCTTTTGCTTTTTGCTAATTTTGCGCCGCACATGTGGCGCGTGTCCAGATTGTGTTTTTTGCTACACGCAGATGAGCCGGTTGCTACCGTCGACTTACGGAATACCGGTTTTTAACAATTTTTTTTACTAGTGTTTTCTATGAACTTTTTTCATAAATTTATGATTTCGTTGAATTTCATTTCTAGGATGTACGTAAATGCAGCTGCGTAATGTAGCAAAAAACACAATCTGGACACGCGCCACATGTGCGGCGCAAAATTAGCAAAAAGCAAAAGAAAAATGCGCGGACCGGGTCCGAACCCGGACCCTCCTCCTGGGAAGCGAGGTGCTTACCAGTTGACTACCGAAGCTCTGCAAAGGGGGCTTCCCAAAGGCTTCTTGAACCCCACCCGCTCTAATGAGACAGGGTCAGGGTGGCGGTTTTTTGGCGCATTTTAAAAGTTTAATATCTTAATTATTTAAGCTCTGTAGCAAATTCGGAAAATGAGGCGATGATCAGCATGGTCGGTTCCATAACTGTGCAAATTTTCAGCCCGATTCGTGTTGCGGGTATCTTGGACTTCCCTAGTTAGCTCTAGGTTAAGGCCCAAATGACCCCATTTTGACCTCGCATGGCAGTATAATGCAAAAGATAAGCTTAGCTTGCGCTTAAACTTAAGCCTAACCTCAAGCGAGGCATTAACACCATAATGCAGTTAGTGCATAAGGCTAAGCTTAGCTTAACTTTTCCAGGGGCTTAAAGCTTAAAAAACCTCGTTTGGAGTGTATTGTAAAAAGATATTAAAATGGTAAAATTTTTGAACCTGTGGCTTCTCGTCGTCATCTTCGCTGTCCTCCTCCGTAGACTCGCCACCGTAATCGCTGTCTTGCACCATAAACTCGTTATCGCCATCGCTCTCTTCCTCCGTGGACTCGTCGCTGTCATCGCTTTGCTCGGTAGATGCGCCAGCGTAGTCGCTGTATTGCTCCCTAGACTCGTCGGCTACGTCGTCATGGCTGGAGTTGTTGCTTGGGCCGCCTGTGCTGGAGCTCTCGCTGTCGTCGCTGTTGTCGTTGATGCAGCGGAAATCCTGGGTGGGCGGCTGCTGTTCCGGGGCCGTCGCCTAATCAAGTTTGATAAAGTCAAGCCGGCGGTTTACCTCTCGAGCAGTATCATATATCTTACGGTGCAGCTCCATCAAAATATCACCGAGCGCTTTCACGGATAACCTGGTGTTGAGGCTCGTCTAAGAGTGGAATCATGAATTAGTGTAGATGCACCTACATCCTTGCCCGCTTCAATCATCTGTATAAAGTGCTCGTCCTAAAATGATAATTGTCCGATTGTTTGCCGTAGATTACGGTCTTGAGGGCCGATTGTATAGTGGAGAAGCTGTAGATGAATGTCTCATACAGTTGTGCGCGCATCGCAGTGAGAGTCCTCTTCTTCTGAAAGTGCACTGTGGTTGTGGGTAGCGCTGTTGCGCGCTGAACGCGGGCTGTAGTCCATTGGCATTACAGGGTGTCCCAAAAATAGCCCCCCCCCCTGTAGCGGCGCGTAGTCGTGTCCGATTTTCAACGTTTAGGTATCTACCTAAAACTCTCGAAAAGGCGAGAAAACAAGGAGGCTTCATTTTCTTTATTGTGTATTTTTATTCGCGCATTTTACGTCCAAAAACCCTAAAAACCGCTGATTTATGCAAGATTTACATGCTAATTGCGAAATTCTGTTGAAAAATTATCTGCTTTTTTAGAAAAACTTTAAATATCGATGGGATGAGTTTTGAATTAAAAAAACAAAGCACGCTTGTTTTTTCGCCTTTCCAAGAGCGTTCGAATGGTGTACAAATCAGCCCGATCCGAGCTTCATCCGCACCGCTAGAGGGGGACTTTTTTTTAGGACACCCTAATTTCGTTCATTTTCATGAATTTTATTCTCAATTTCGACCCTTCCCATTCTCACGCGATAAAGTTTTTGAGAATAAGGTTCGTTCTTTGTCGAAGAGCTTGCCTTAAAAAGATATAACACTTTTAAAGGAATTTTTGCGCAATTTTTAGGACTTTCACATCCATATATTTTGCATTTCCCGATTGATTTTTCAAATACAAATTCCTTCCTTCCTGCGTCAGTGGAA